TATCTTTGCGTTTGCATAGCCCAGCTGCTTTCGTGTGTCCGGGTCCCTATCTAGTTGGTTTTTAGGAGAAATGGTCTGAATGGTCTGAGCAAAGATGACTGTGTTTTTTCGGTTCAAAGTTCTTTCGCTTGCAGAACAACTACCATGTTTTTCTTCTCGCGGCATCTTTTGGGAAGGAGAAAAAGCTGATTCCAGATCCTTTCCTTTGCTCGTTCATACACCCAAAGGCAACACAGTATGGCATGATCACCAATTAATTAGATAATTGTCAATTTGTATCCAGATAACGGCATACAGTTTATACAAGGTGCGATAATTGCCCTAATCCTCAAACACAAAACAGCTGTTTCCTCACCTTCACGGTTGACTGCTCGTGCATGTGATGTCACAGGTTATGGCGGATAACGCTATGCATAATCACACTGCTCAAATTAATTAAAACCCTCTCAAAATGACAAATGTCATTTATACGAGTTTTTGAAACATTTTTTTTTTTGTTCAAATGTATTTATGTTATAGTTTTAACAAGATAAGATATTCACATTTTTTTGATAAAAGTCCTTTAAGCATGCGTTGGTGTATCGTACTATTATACATAACAGGGACACATTACGGTATATATACTAACCTTGGACGTAACAACCGATAAAAAGGGAACTGACTAGTAGCTATTAACTAGTACGTAAAATATGCGAATATCCTACAAACTTACTGAAACATGACAAAGGGCTAAATATGGTGGTGTTTCTAAAGTTGCCATGTATTAATTTATAATTATGTATTCATTTTTTTAAATAACGAGGGCCAGTAAAATTTTTGGTGGGCCAGTAAATTTAGAAAGTTTACTGGTCCTACTGGCCAGTAAGTTCGAAAAGATTTCGTGAAGACTGCATGTATGCCCCTCCCAGGGTTCATTAGTAAGGCAACATCAACATTTGTATTAGTGTATGAAGTTTGATGAAAAGCAACATCAACATTTGTATTAGTTAATGAAGTTTGATGAAAATATATATCTTGAATAGTTTCTTAAAAACTGAGTTTAATACATCATGATAGTAAAAAAAACCAAATCATTTTGGAGGTCAAGGTAAAAAAAATGGACACTGTTGATAAATTTTCACCAAATAGTGTATCAGTACATAAGCTTACATAAAAAAATATTTGGAAAAGTTGAGCGAAACACAATTTGAGAAAAAGTGATGTCAAGGTCAAAGGAAAGGTCAAGGTCAAAAAATGTTGATGCACTTGAATAGTTCTACATATGTATCAGCATGCGGAGTTCGATGGAATATCTTGATTTGTTTCTTTGAAACTAAGTTAAAAAATTTGAAAGTGAGGTCAAGGTAAATTGAAGGGCAAAGGTCAAAACATTGATGAAATTGAATAACACTCATCAATATATAAGCACATTAGGTTTGACAAAAAATATCTTGAATACCTTCTTTGAAATTTAGCCAAACACAAAATTGATGTCAAGTTCACCTGAGCCAAAAACTCAATTGGGCATCTCTATTGGAAAAGTGGCCTGCTTCTGTCATTTGTCCTATGAATATGTATCATAAATTATTTTTACCTTCTAAAACTTCATCTTTAACAATGAAGAGATGTTGATGGACTTCCAGTCCCCTGGTGGACTCTGTAGCTTCGCTGACATTTTGACGTTTCCCTCTTAATCGCTTCAGCAGAGTTGTTTTACCAGCCTCAGCACATCCAACAAGTATCCCTCTGGCGTGGGAAACAGTTGTCTTCTCCTTCCTCAGAAACTTCTTCAACTCAGCAACTTCATTTATATCATCACTGTTTGGATCTAAACAAAATTAAACATGTTCTTAGAGTAATCGGCAGAACACATGCATTAAGCAGAATTTGACATTTTGTTTTAATGTACAATATATATAAATATGAATTTCAGGAAAAAAAAATATGTTAATATTCTGTTAGTTTTGAATTTTATCTCTCTAACTCAGTTCCAAAATGTTATCTGGTTATTTTTGTTGCTTTGTTCCTCATCATGCTCATGGGCTAAGAACAAGGTATGAAATTAAACAGTCATTTCAATTTCATTTCAACTTGATAGTGAAATGATGCAGAGTTATAGAAAATAGATCTGATCATTCATAATCATTTTTGGAATATCAATATACATGTATTTGTTTCTTTTGTAAAAAAAATAAGAAATTCCTCTGTGTAGTCTACAAATATCATGAATTATATAGGAAAAACTATTTTTGTAGCAGAAAAGTAGTTATTATTTTTTTACCTATGAAATAAGAAATTTAACTATGCGTCATCTAACCAGCCTTCATCAGGTTTTAAAAACAACTAGAAATATGTCCATAGGACATGAATGCCCCGCCGAGGGTATATTAGTAATGCAAATTTTAACACAAATTGAGAAAAGTGAGGTCAAGGTCAAAGAAAAGGTCAAGGTCAAAAAATATTGATGCAGTTGAATAGCTTACATCAGTATGTATCAGCATATGATGTTTGAAACTAATTTAAGAAAAGTGAGGTCAAGGTCAAAGGAAAGGTCAAGGTCAAAAAATGTTCATGCAGTTGCATAGCCCTCATCAATATCTATCAGCATATGAAGTTTGATAAAAATATCTTGGATCGTTTCTTTGAAACTGAGCTTTGAACAGAGCTAAACGCAAAGTGTGACAGGACAGATGGAAGGACAGAAGGATGGAAGGACGGAAGACGGACATGACAAACACTATATGCCCTGGCCATATTCATGGCAGGGCATAATAAACCATTTTCCAAGAACATAACAAGTTTAAAACAACAAGAGGCCCATGGGCCACATCGCTCACCTGAGCACATTGGCTATGAAAAAAACAAGCAAAAATCATTTCAGTATTGAAAAGTTTACCGGTTGGGGGGGGGGGGGGGGGGAGTTGAATTTTAAACTACCTGATGATGCTTTCATATCAATATAACAAATGGCTTTGCTGTTCTTGAGCAGAAGATTGTTTCCCATATTTTCAATTGTAAAAATTTGATCCCCCACTGTGGCCCCCACCCTACCCCCGGGGGCCCTCATTGAAAAAAATTCATTCTACACTACCCAAGGATGCCTCCATATCAATTTGACTAATCATGGCTTTTCTGTTCTTGAGAAAAAGATTTTTTCCTATATATTCCTCTGTAATCTTTGATCACCCATTGTGGCCCCACCCTACCTCCTGGGGTCATGATTTGAACAAATTTGAATCTACACTACCTGAGGATGCTTCTTTATAAATATGACCAATCATGGCTTTACTGTTCTTAAGAAGAAGATTTCTAAAGATATTTTCCTTTATATATTTTTATGTAAAATTTTGATCCCCCATTGTGGCCCCACCCTACCCCCGGGGGTCATGCTTTGAACAAACTTAAATCTACACTCCCTGAAGATGCTTCCACATAAGTTTCATCTTTCCTGGCCCAGTGGTTCTTGAGAAGAAGATTTTTAAATGATGCCATTTTTTTTCACCAATTCCTAATTATCTCCCTTTGAAAGAGGGCGTGGCCCTTCATTTGAACAAATTTAAATCTCCTTCACCCAAGGATACTTTGTGGCAAGTTTGGTTGAATTTGGCCCAGTGGTTCTTGAGAAGAAGTCGAAAATGTGAAAAGTTTACAGACGGACAGACGGACGACGGACAAAATGTGATCAGAAAAGCTCACTTGAGCCTTCGGCTCGGCTGAGCTAAAAAGTTGACACGAATAAAGGTGAGGAGAGAAAACATTGATTTTTGTCATATTTTTGCCCCGCTAGATCACTTTTATGGTCGACGTAGCACGATACAATGGAACTTTTCAATTTCAATGAACATGAGCCAACCCAAAATTGTACACCTTATTTTCCCAAGATTTTAAAAGATAAATTGAAAATTAATTTTCATTTGGTTCTTGTGGAGGTTTTTTTTTTACTTCTTTACATAATAAATACAGAACAAAAAAGGTTTGGTACATTAAAAAAATACTGAAAGAAAATGTTTAAGTAGCATGATATAGTGAGACACCCCCTCCCCACCCCCCTTTCCCAAGAAAAAAAGTATGTGGGGGAGGAGGGGGGGGGGGGAAGGGGGTATAACTATATACTTCTGAATTTGGTTTCACTTTTAATCTGCAAAAATTCCATGTAATATACATGTAGAATGTCAACCCAGTACACAGTGTAGATTTACTGAACACCTGTTATAGAAATACACAGCATTCCTAGACAGAGCTGTGTTAATATCAATGGTGTCTATAACTCTCAAAATTGTACAAAGTGTTTGTAGTCACTGTGATGGAATTTTGCTTGAATGGCATATTTAAAGAACTGCATATCAACTATTGATAAGAACTAGGACAATTCCCCCTCCAACCCCCCAATTTCCATCCCTTCGCCCCTGCCCCCACCCCCCATTTTACAACCATTTTTTCCATTTCCTGACATTTGTAGTAATGTATAAAGTTAACCTACAAACACCCAATGTATCCACTTCCTCTTTTTAGCAGAAGAACATAAAATCATGTCAACCCAAACAGAAGACAGAATCAATGAGAGTTATACAACAAATCATTTGTCAGCCAGGGAACTGAACACTCTATACAACATTATACATAGCTCTACAGTTTACATACATTTTATACAAGATGTAGGACAGATTCTATGTCAAGTCTCATCTGTACAAAATCTGGAGTAGTTTGTTAAAGACGACAGAGTTAACAACTAAACTAAGTACATAATAAATAACCCTAATTAAATCTTAAGTATATCATCTGAAAATTATATGGTTATAAATTACAACTTATAAATTAATACCCTCATCTTAAAATCATTTCTTGTGAATTAATGCAACAAGTTAGAATTCAATTAACCATGTCATGTAATTACACTTCAAACTATCAGTATGAATTATTCATTAATGTCTTGTAATTACACACAAAATAATGACTATAATATATTGTATACACTAAACATTGTACAACAAAACATATAATTATACTTATGTATTATTTACCAGTCAGATTATCCCCTCCATTGATAAGTCTGTATATGTACACTGTGTTGTTGTACCGTGATCCCACCCAGAGAAGGTTAGTGATGTCATCATAACTCAGGCCGTGTGGTCTGTCTATCCCGTGTTCTGATGTCTGTATCAATGACAGGAATTGTCCGTCTTTATCAATCATCTGTACTGTGTGGGTGTTAGGATCACACACCAGGATGTGTGACAGCGCGTCAGTACAGATTCCACGTGGTTCTAGTCCTGATCCTGATGGAGGTCCTGTGTAGGAGAAGCGATGTCTCCCACCCTGATCTGTCACCACTACAGCACCACGGTAATAGTCAGACACAATAACATCTCCATTGCGGTTCTCTGTGATGTAGACAGGTAGACTATACAGTCTCTGACCTGTGTTGTTGTCGTGCTGTATGGTCTGTATGTGTAGTCCTGTGTTATTGTAACGGTTTACCTGGGCTGTATTTGTATCAGTATTAAACATCCCGACCAGCAGGTCTCCAGTGGAGGGGGAGCTGTAGACACACTGTGGTCTCCATGGTGCTGTGTTGTACTTTATTAATGTAGTCTGTACTCTGTGATCTGTAGACAGTTTGTTGATGTTACCGTGACTGTCTATATAAATTAAATCACCGTCTCTAGTCACTGTGTGTACTCCATAACCACTATCTATATCTGTCAGATGATGTAGTTTATCACCTGCTGTGTTTGTCAAGATGAGATTGAATAGATCACTGATCCAGACCCGGTCTGATGTTACACGGGTAATGTGACTACAATCACTAACACCTGTCACTGTGACAGATTTCTGTAACACTAATCTATACATCATTGACAGCAGACATTTATTTCATCTTTATCCTGTGGTTTTATAACAGAATCCTGTGTTGATTTCCTCAGTCAGGGAGATTTCTCTGTAAATTACATTGTGTTAGAATTGTTTACATCAATAACAGGGCTCTCTTTATAATATACTCATATAAAAATGTTTTGGTTTAAAGAATTTATAGAATTGAATAGAATTAAGTCCAAGATAAACATAAATAGAATTAAGTCCCAGATAAACATAAATAGAATTAAGTCCCAGATAAACCTAAATACCTTTACACTGGGTGCTGAGTGATTTCTATGTTTCAATGCCTTCAAGTGTCCTCAATGAAACCTGTCTAACAAAGTGTAAATTAGAAATTAAAACCACATCAATTGTGAAATACTGGAAATACTTAAACTTTATAATTTACAAAAGAATAATCATGATAAACACTGCTTTCTTACAAATACTAATTCATAAGTTATAACATTAAAACAGGGTAAGATAGAGATGTTCTACTATAACACTCTATAGATAGGTATGATTACAGTGTGTCATAAGTTATAACATTAAAACAGTGTAAGATAGAGAGGTTCTACTATGACACTCTATAGATAGGTATGATTTATACAGTGTGTCATAAGTTATAACATTAAAACAGTGTAAGATAGAGATGTTCTACTATAACACTCTATAGATAGGTATGATTTATACAGTGTGTCATAAGTTATAACATTAAACAGTGTAAGATTGAGATGTTCTACTATAACACTCTATAGATAGGTATGATCACTGTGTGAATTCACAAAGTTATAAAAACTAATAAAGTAACAGAGAAATGTATACCACACTGATTTCTTGTATCTGGTAATTTTTCATCTCGTGTCTGTGTTCTGGGTAAAGAAAACAAAGAACATTATCATATATCACGTCTATAAAAAAAAGTTTATACTTTATCTTATTTTATTCAATCATGACAAAATTGTGTCTACTATTTGAAATAACAATTTAAATCTTTATAGCTTTAATCTTGATCCATTGTTTGCTTTACCCTGATTGTTTTTAGCCATTCTTAAACAAGAGGCCCATGGCCACAACGCTCACCTGAGTAACTTTGGCCCTGCTGTTCTTCACTAGATTTTCTCCCTTGTAATATTTATTGTGGCCCCACACTACTGCCAGGGGGGTCATGATTTGAATAATTTAGAATCTACACTGCCTTAGGAAGCAGTTTCAGCTTTTCTGGCCCAGTGGTTCTTGAGAAGAAGATTTTAAAAGATTTTTCCTATATATTTCAATGTAAAAATTGATTCCCTATTGTGGCCCCACCCTACCACTGGGGCCATGTTTTGAAAAATTTAGAATCTATAATACCCAAGGATGCTTTCACATAAGTTTCAGCTTTTCTGGCCCTGTGGTTCTTGAGAAGATTTTGAAAGATTTTTCCTATATTTCAATGTAAAACTCTGATTCCCTATTGTAGCCCCACCCTTCCCCTAGGGCCATGATTTGAACAATTTAGAATCTACACTTCCCATAAATGCGTTGAAAAAAGAGTATATGATACCAATATATCATATAAATATTTAGCCTAAACTATATGTACAATACGCAAGTTTCCATGGAATTATTAATTTCATAAAACAATATTTCTATGTCTTTAATTTATTTTCTAAACAGAAGCTAAATGGCATATTTTATTTCGCAAGAAAATGATTGAAATGTTTGGTAAAACTCAGCAGCTTCTGGTCCCTCACCAGCAGGCACATAGTTTGGGGGGGGGGGGGGGGGGGGCAGTGGGGGCTCAGTCTGTGCCCCCCCCCCCAAAAAAAATTTCCAAACCTAACCAATGTTCAGAGGAAGGGTGATTCCCCTTTTATTGTTGTAGAGCAGTTAAATAATGGTAATTTGGTAATGGTAATAATTAAATTCTGTTTAGTGAAAGTTGGAACTTAACTCCCCTCCCAGAACCCCTGCTGTTCTTCACTTCCATTCCATTGTGCGCCTGACCTAATTCTGCTGAAGGCACTACAACTCTGATTCCCTATTGTAGTCCCATTGTAGCTTCCATATAACTTTCAGCTTTTTAGCCCAGTGGAGATTTTTTTAATGACCCCACCCTATTTTGTCTTTTCTTGATTATCTCCCCTTATAAAGGGACATGACCCTTCATTTAAATAACTTAATCTCCCCTTTACCCAAGGATGCTTTGTACCAACTTTGGTTAAAATTGGCCTAGTGGTTTTTGAGAGGAAGTTGAAAATGTGAAAAGTTAACAGACAAACAGATGGACAACAGAGTGATCAGAAAAGCTCACTTGAGCTTCCAGCTCAGGTGAGCTGAAAAAACAATTAAATGTACTGAACGCATTTATTTTATAGTTTATGAACTTATGAACTTTTACATTTGAAGAAAATATGTAAACCTGTAAGGTGGGCATTTTTTCATCCTCTTAACAACTACTCAGCACATCCTGTGGAATCTGTCAAAACAATTTAAGGACATTTAGCTATATATGCACGTATATAATGGCTTTGAGCTTGTAAGACACTGTAGGTATGTAACTACAAATAATACTAGTGATACATAATAATACAATGTATAATATACATTTATTGCCTGATAGTGAGGGAGACATGAAGATTTCTTCGCCCATGAAAAATCATATTTCCCGAGGGCAACGCCCTCGTGGAATATGATTTTTCATGGGCGAAGAAATCTTCATGTCTCCAGAACATTCATGCAATAAATTGTTTATTATACCAAATCAAGCACAGTGCAGGAAATATAAAGAAAATCCAAGTAATAGAGTAAACATATGTTAAGAACAATATGAAAACAGATGTAAGTTACACCACTAGCCGCGCTTCATAAGAACAAAAATCCTTTGTGACAAAGTCAGTGTGATTTACACACTAGTAACATTCAAACCCCACCCTTGAAAACACCATTTTAAATATTTTTTTTACACATTTAAATCGACACACTCAATCAACGATAAAAACAATCTAACTCAGTAGTAATCATCCCAGTCACTGCATTGTGACGTCACAATCGTGAAACAGGACGTGAAACACGACGTTTTGTTGCAGGGCAAACATGGCAGTCACATGACTGTCTCGGCCAATCAGAATCTTTTTACTAGTGATTATTTATATGAGGTATAATACATAATCTTTCTTACTAGTGATTATTTATATGAGGTAAAATAATGTGTAATATGTCTCTAAAACATGAATACCTCAAACAATAATACGTGTAATATGTCTATAGAACATGAATGTCTCACCCAATAATACATGTGTAATGTGTCTGTAGGACATGAATGTCTCACCCAATGATACATGTGTAATATGTCTATAGAACATGACTGCCTCACCCAATAATACATGTGTAATATTTCTGTAGAGCATGAATGTCTCACCCAATAATACATGTGTAATATATCTGTAAAACATGAATGCCTCACCCAATAATACATGTGTAATATGTCTGTAGGACATGAATGCCTCACCCAATAATACATGTGTAATATGTCTATAGAACATGAATGTCTCACCCAATAATACATGTGTAATATTTCTGTAGAGCATGAATGTCTCACCCAATAATACATGTGTAATATGTCTGTAGGACATGAATGCCTCACCCAATAATACATGTGTAATATGTCTGTAGAACATGAATGTCTCACCCAATAATACATGTGTAATTTAAACAATAAAATGCTTTCTTTGGTTGTTCGTACGGGAATTAATGTCACAGCTGTTGCAGAAAAAATACATAACCCGCATAAGTGGGTTATGTGATTTTTTTTCTGCAATAGCTGTGACGTTAATTCCCGTACTAACAAACAAAGCAAGACATTTTATTGTTTATATTTATATCTTTACATAAAAAAAACACTCAAAGTAAATTAAATGTGTTAAATATTGTATTATAGATGTGTATGTCATTGTATGCATAATTGATGGAACAGCTGTTGCTTTAGAAATCTATGCAGGTGGCTTGCTTAGTGTTGTTTATGGACTGATTAACGGCAATGGTTTTTATAAAAAATAAAGGAAATAATATTCAGTGGATGTAAATATATGTCTGTAAAACATGAATGCCCCACCCAATAATACATGTGTAATATGTCTATAGAACATGAATGTCTCACCCAATGATACATGTGTAATATGTCTGTATAACATGAATGTCTCACCCAATAATACATGTGTAATATGTCTATAGAACATGAATGTCTCACCCAATGATACATGTGTAATATGTCTGTATAACATGAATGCCTCACCCAATAACACATGTGTAATATGTCTGTAGAATATGAATGTCTCACCCAATAATACATGTGTAATATGTCTATAGGACATGAATGTCTCACCCAATAATACATGTGTAATATGTCTGTAGAATATGAATGTCTCACCCAATAATACATGTGTAATATGTCTGTAGAACATGAATGTCTCACCCAATGATACATGTGTAATATGTCTGTAGAATATAAATGTCTCACCCAATAATACATGTGTAATATGTCTGTAGGACATGAATGTCTCACCCAATGATACATGTGTAATATGTCTGTAGAATATGAATGTCTCACCCAATGATACATGTGTAATATGTCTGTAGAATATGAATGTCTCACCCAATAATACATGTGTAATATGTCTGTAGAACATGAATGTCTCACCCAATATTAAAACATTGCTCTGATGTCATGCCTTTGTTCTTGTAGTCTAAAAATTTACCTGTAGCCGTCCGATAATAATAATTAACAGTCCAATAATATATTAATGGACGGCAATGATAACAAAATCGGACAGTAGTTAAAAAACAACAACTAGAGGGAAATCAAGGTTTAATTTTTCCAGAAACCAAAAAAAAGTTAGGGAGAAAAAATTCAGGGAAAGAGAACGCGAGGAAATTAAGCTGTTAAAAATAGCAAATCCAAGAAGAAACTGGAGTTTTAACCTTCCTCAAAAGTAACACTTTCCATTCGGTTCTTTGCAAAGCATTTTCGATACAGTGTGAATAAGCCAATAAAAATCCATTTCTGATAAAGAACCAGTCTGCGAATCTCTTCATTTAACGAGGTTTGTTCGCCAATGACCGCACTTTTAAAACCCAAGATTTTCATTATATCATCCAATCAAAATTTTAAAATAAAAATCCGAATTTTACTTTAAATGCATTTTGATGATATCATCAAACACTGTATCTGTATCAATGTCAAACGCACTTAATAAAAAAAAAATATTCCGAATCATAAAAAAATCCTTCATCACCTAACCACTGTCCATAGTTCCTGCTAAGCCCAACGACTGCCATTGAATGAATGAAACAAAAGATCACTGATTTTACTGTCTAAAGAAAAGAAAAACTTTCTCTTTTCTTTTGTCTACTTATTAGAAAGTTTCAGGTAGAAAACTATTGATGCCTGAACTCCTATTGTGTAATTATCGGACTCCTCCAGGTAGCTTTTGGACATTTATATAGCAATGTTTTAAGTAAGATATATGCCTCATACAATTCTATATGTAAAATTATCAGACTGTTTTCGGCCCTAACGGGCCTCAAACAGTCTGATAATTTTACATATAGAACAGTATTCGGCATATATCCATTACATACATGTGTAATATGTCTATAGGACATGAATGCCCCACCCAATAATACATGTGTAATATGTCTGTAGAATATGAATGTCTCACCCAATAATACATGTGTAATATGTCTGTAGGACATGAATGTCTCACCCAATAATACATGTGTAATATGTCTGTATAACATGAATGTCTCACCCAATAATACATGTGTAATATGTCTGTAGGACATGAATTCCTCATCCAATAATACATGTGTAATATGTCTGTATAACATGAATGTCTCACCCAATAATACATGTGTAATATATCTGTAAAACATGAATGTCTCACCCAATAATACATGTGTAATATATCTGTAAAACATGAATGTCTCACCCAATAATACATGTGTAATATATCTGTAAAACATGAATGTCTCACCCAATAATACATGTGTAATATGTCTGTAAAACATGTATGTCTCACCCAATAATACATGTGTAATATATCTGTAAAACCTGAATGTCTCACCCAATAATACATGTGTAATATGTCTGTACAACATGAATGCCCCACCCAATAATACATGTGTAATATGTCTGTACAACATGAATGTCTCACCCAATAATACATGTGTAATATGTCTGTACAACATGTATGTCTCACCCAATAATACATGTGTAATATATCTGTAAAACCTGAATGTCTCACCCAATAATACATGTGTAATATGTCTGTACAACATGAATGTCTCACCCAATAATACATGTGTAATATGTCTGTACAACATGAATGTCTCACCCAATAATACATGTGTAATATATCTGTAAAACATGAATGCCCCACCCAATAATACATGTGTAATCATGGTAATATGTCTGTACAAAATGTCTCACCCAATAATCTGTCTCACCTAATATGACAAATAGTGCATGACATTCACAGTAAGGCATAAAAGTGTGTCTTAACTAGAGGTACTGTAAGCAAGCTCACAAAATAATACCCACGCTGATTTTTTTTTTGTAAGTGATTATTCAAATGTTGTAAATGTGACCTTGAACTTGCCACTAAGACCTTGGTTAAATAGATGACACATCCTCTTGTCATTAGTAATCTTTCAGTGAAATATTGACATGCAATGTTTCTCCATTAGAAAATTATTGAGCTGTTATGCATTTTACACTTTTTATAAGTGACCTTGAAGGTGCTGGAATGACCTTGGATCAAGGTCATGATACACCCTCAGATCAAAAACAATCTCTGTACCAAGTATGAGCTTCCAAAGATTCTCCATTTAAAAGTCACAGTTAAGCACGGACAAGAATTTCATATTTTTGGTGCCAGTGACATTAAACTTGCTAAAATGACCTTGCATCAAGATCATGACACACACTCAGTGTTTTCCTTTATTTCAAAGTAAAGAGTTAGAGATCAATTGTTACAGGCTAGGGGATGAGTTTTATGAACAAAAACTCTATGGACCTTACAACAATTATTTTTAAAATTTTTTATTTCTAAGCGGCATTTTTATCAATTGAAGTGGTCAATTTGGTCGGTAGCCAGTTCTTAGGAAAAACACTGACCCTCGCGTTATAAGAAATCCCTGTACCAAGTTTGAGCTTCCAGTGATTCCCCTAGGGGTGAAACGGTACACCGCGGTATTTTTCATCGGTTTGATACACGGTGCAAAATTCCCCATCTTCAGTTCGGTTCAATTTTCGGTCGGGATCGTTATTCAGTCAGGTTATGCATAGGTAAAACATGCTACTGTGCATAATTAAATTTTAAAAACATAAGTTTCACCCCTAGATTCCCTAATACAAACTTAAAACCTGGACAAAAATTTTATAACTTTTTGTTGGTGACCTTGAACTAGCCAGAATAATCTTGGGTCAAGGCCAAGACAAACCCTCATAACATAAGCAATCTCAGTGCCAAGTAAGAGCTTTAAGTATTTCTCCATAACAAAGTTAAAGCCCAAACAAGCTCGTACTGATGGACAGATGGACAGACAAGGTGATTCTAAGATACCTCACAAACTCCATTAGCAGGGGTATAATTAAATCTTAACTCATATAAAGGGATTATAGAAACCTGCACAATGTTGATATCCTCTTCTTTTCTAAAGTTGTACTTTACATCATGTGGAATCTGTCAAAAAACAGTAAGACATTTCTTAATTAATGTACTTTTCAATCTGGTTTACAAAGACATGTGTTTGAATGTTATTTTCTAAGGTACATAATAGAAAGATAAAACTTCCAAGGATAAAACAACATTGAAAGAAAATTGATGGCAGTACAGCACTTGAATGACTTGAGTTATGAATTTCACAATTTTGAAAGGAGCATCCTTGCTGATCATAACCATGCACTTAGTTTATCTCCTAAATACCCTTGCTCAAATAATCATGCCCTTATCTTACTTTGTTTGTTAAATACTCAGGAACAGAGAAGAGGATTTTTTAAAGAAATTATGCATTTTTACTGTGTGATCAATAGAGCCCCACTCTTACTCCATAAGCCCTGACCCAGAGGCTATGGATTTCACAATTGTGGTCAAGGACTCCATGCTTATTACAATAATGCCAACAGATTAACTGTTTGGTGTCCAGGAGTAAAGAAGATTTTTTAAGATTGCATCAATTTGGATAGTTTAACCCCACCCTTCAAGCCCCAGGGGGCGGGGATCATGAAATTCAGTAATTTGTTTCCCTTTATCCATAGATGCCATATGCTAAAATTGGTTGAAATTGGTTCAGCAGTTTCAGCAAGAAGCTGAAAATGTTCAAATATTAACACACGACGTACGACGACGGACGAAAATGGATAGCAATTGGTCACCTGAGTGACTCAGGTGACCTAAAAAAAAGGCATTTTCTTTAAAACTTTTCATTCTTAGAATACTCTGCCGTACTCTTTGTCTAATTTTAAAACATTTACATACTTTAATTGAAGACCTGAATTTTATCCATTTTTTAAAAATACAAACCCTTGATATTCAAAAAGGAAATTCAGTTAAACCTGTAAAATAGTGATTTCTTCATCTTCTTTAGCTTTACACAGTTAAACAGCACATCCTGGGAGACCTGTCAAAATAAACTCTGTACAGTTAGTTAATATTTCTGTATAGCTTCAACGTATTAAAGGTACAAATAATTTTATTATGAGGCATCTTTGGGTTTATTCATGCATATGTTTCACGATGCCTGTATAAAAGTAGCCTGATACTCTTAAAACTATAATACATTTCTTAATTTACTTTTTGACTTATATACTCACAACTCACAAACCTGTTAAATATAAAGGAAAATATAGGTAATCAGAGATTACAGAGCTCACCTCAATGAATGTTGCCTTTAAGTAAGGCAAAGTCCTGCACTAAACAATATTCTAGTAGTGTGCATCCCTAGATGCAACATTTATGCATTTTTAGTCTGACAGGGCTCGCATTAATTGGGAATGGACCTACCTAAAAACTTTAAACTAGCCACTCATCCAGACAATGCAAGTCAAATCCAGCATCCGAAGCAAATTTGAAAGTGTTCAACCTCTGATGCATCATCCATGCAAGTTTGGTTCAGATAGGCCTTTTAGTTTCTTGGTAATGGACCTGCTCCAAAAACATTACCCTGGTCACTGATCCGGAAATGTAGATCAAATCCAGCATCCAAAGCAAGTCCAGTAGTGTGCATCCTTAGATGTATCATCCATGCAAGTTTGGTCAACAAAGGGCTTGTAGTTACTTGGAAGTGAGACCTGCTCCATAATCTTTAACCTGTTCACTCGTCCAAAAAATGTAGGACAGATCCAGCATCCAAAGCAAGTCCAGTATTGTGCATCCTAGATGTACCATCCATGCAAGTTTGGCCAACATAGGCCTTATAGTGACTTTGGAATGAACCTGTTCCACAAATTTTAACCTGGTCACTCAACCGAAAAATGTAGGTCAGATCCAGCATCCAAAGCAAGTCCAGAAGTGTGCATCCTTAGATGTACCATCCATGCAAGTTTGGTCAAAAGAGGGCTTATCATTATAGTTACTTAAAAATTAGATCTGCTCCAAAAACTTTAATCTGGTCACTCATCCAGAAAATGTAGGTCAGGGTCAGCATCTGAAGCAAGCCTGGTAGTGTGCATTAGTGGTGTTCCAATCATCGATTATAATCGAAAATCAGTCGATTTCTGGCATAATCCAAGCGCACAATTACAAAATTTTTATTCCGATGAATCTGTTTATATTTTATTTTACAAGCATAATAGTTTTTAAGCCATATATTTCCAGCAGCGACTTATCTTTAACTTATTTGTGTATCGTAATGATGCAGACGGATAGACAATTGTATCCATACCAGGGTAGGACAAACATGTACTTTGGGTTCTACAAAATGAACGAAGGACAATCTGGGCTACAACAGAAAGTAGTCATTTACCCATTCTTACCATTTAATTGACTAAATTGATAGACTTTGTAAATGTCCGATTATAATCCATAATTAGTTAGATACGGTATCCCGATCATCAATTATGACAATTTTTACCGATTCCCATCACTAGTGTGCATTCTTAGATGTATCATCCATGCAAGTTTGGTCAAGATAGGGCTTATAGTTAATTGGAAATGAGACCTGCTCCAAAATCTTTAACCTGGTCACTCATCTGGAAAATGTAGGTCAGATCCAGCATCCAAAGCAAGCCTGGTAGTGTGCATCCTTAGATGTATCATCCATGCAAGTTTGGTCAACATAGGTCTTCTAGTTACTTATAGTTACTTGGAAATGAGACCTGCTCCAAAAACTGCGAAACACAAATTTAGTGCATATAGTTTGAACAATCCGGAGACTTCTGTATGTCAATACAAAATTTCAGGAGAAAAAAAAAACGCTGAGAGAAAGTATTGAATTTTTCCATTATATGGATTAAATTATATGGCTGAAGGTATCCCCAGTCTTAAGGTGTAAGGTATCCCCAATCTTAAGGTGTAAGGTATCCCCAATCTTAAGGTGTAAAGTATCCCCAATCTTAAGGATACACCAAAGGTTTCCAAATGCCAGAATTTAATTTGCATGTAATTCTTTCATTATCAAAGATAACATGATAAAAGTATATATCATTTGAAAGCTTGTTAAATTAACCATTTAATTATCCTAATTTAAACTTTAATTAGTAACTTATTTAAAAATTATTTAAATATTAATATAAATTTTAGTGCATAAATATTTTATAAATCAACTTTTTTGTATTTAACCCCTCAAAGTGGTCATTTTGCCTCAAGGTAGATTAAAGATTGAACTTCAAAACCGTATCTCAGATTTTTGATAAATCTTCTAATTCAAAAGTTACACCCATTTGCACTTCAATGTTTCCAATTTATTAGCCTAATTTAACATTTCCCTAAACAGTTCCAAAACTAAGCTAGATATCAAAAATCTGAGATACGGTTTTGTGAACACACATTTGAGAAGCAACCTATTCAATTTTCAGAGAAAATGGTCAATAAATAAGAGAGCTGAATCCTTTGAAATAATACCACACACTGTCTGATCTTACTTTACAGTAGAGGGCAAAAACCCATTACACAACAAAATCTGCCAAAGCTAGAAATATATGACACCTTGGAGATTCAGCTTTGGATACCTGTCACTTAGCAATATTTCATAAGAATGGAAGGTTCATTTCTGTATTTAGATGCTTTTAATTAAGTAAAATAGGATCAATTCTGAATCAGAAAGATTTCCCGGCAAAATGGCAAGAGCTAAGCTCCGCCTCCTATTTTATGGTCATCAGTGATCTGTTAGATCTCCTTCTCTAAATCTAGAGTCCCTAGTTTAATTACTGATAACATTTGTGTGGCTAGTGAAGAATTCCGCAAGTGGTCACAGTGATTTATTGCATCTTTCATGAGCAGGCAGTCACAGATCAAATCAGAAGCTTCAATAACGGAACATTCACATGTGGTAGTGTTTATGTTTCATTATTGTTCAATAATTAGAAACCATTTCATAATTACCAAAAATTTTAAATGCATTATAAAGCAGTGATTAACTTCTTTTTCTTAGCCAAAAATCTCAAAATATGTTGAAAATCTTGAAAAAAGCCTTTGGTGTATCCTTAAGGTGTAAGGTATCCCTAATCTTAAGGTGTAAGGTATCCCCAATCTTAAGGTGTTAGGTATCCCCAATCTTAATAAGAGGTTTGCTGTGATTAACTTGATGCAGGTTATTTTTACTGCATTCTTCATTTTATTGTGGTTCGATTCTGCAATTTTCTGCTACACTGCGGGTGCAAAGGAGGCGTTCTGTGGTAAAGACCTGTCCTGAGAGACTGTTAGATTTTTCTAACTATATGCCCAACACGGTGTTTAAAATATCAAATTCCTGTGACCTAATTCTGCTGAAGCTACAACTGGGGTGCGTTCAGGAGCGTAGCAGCTATGTAGACGCTATGTAAACAAAGCTACGCTCTTAAATGGTAAGCTAACCCAGCCGCTACATAAAGAAAGTTTGCATAAATATTTAATGCTAAGTACCAAATCCAAGATAGTCTCCTTAGTTACCACTTCGCAGCACATAAGATTTTAGTTAGAATAATCTGTGTCTCGGGACAAGCCCTCACCACAAACCGGGTCCATAGGACAATATCATTTTAACGATAGAATGTTCTATCTGACAAGATTTTAGCAAAAAGGGTATTGTTTATACATCTAAGCTAATTAGTTGTAAATTATCGTATACATATTTTTGCTTGAAATTCAAATAAACTAACAAGTTTTTTATGATAAAATTTTATTGAAAATTTAACACTTAGGGGCTAATCTATCTGTCCATTCAACTGAGATAGATATCTAGAACCTAGCTGCTAGGTTAGCCGCTACGATCTTGAACGCAGCCCTGCCCCCTTATCACAGGCACTTGTTTCGGTAATAAATTTTTGACCCATAGTATAATAATAACACAAGGTATCCAACTCCGAATTACATGGAGTACCCCCCTCCCCCAGAATCACACTCATTTACACTTTTAAAGGAATCGCACTGGCAAACTGTTTTGTTTATTCCTATGTCTTCTACGATAATTTATCTACACAACCATATATGGCATGCTTGTCTTCATTTTCTTTTATCT